GCTCCCCACTCTGTCTCTGCTGAATCCTCTCACCTCTGGCCTGCACCCCAGTTCTTGTATGCATAAAGGAAAATACATCTTTTTTTTTTTTAATGTAGCATCTGCCTACTGCCTAGGATTATTAAAAGATCTAGTCGGATATTAACTGTTACTAGTTGCCAGTGGGTATCAGACACTAGCGCTGCCAAAACCTTGACTCTGCTGGGCCTGTGAAGTGGGGACACTCCTGCCTCCCCAGGAGCCTGTCGTGAGCCTTTCCTCTTAGCTGTGTCAGTGTCTGTCAAGCTCAGAGCTGGCTCAGCAGACTGGCCGTTTCCATCTCCAACCTCCTTGGCATCTACTATCTATTCTCAACCCCCCTTTCCAAGTGACTCGCTTAAGCACCAGTATTCGCACCAAGAGTTCCTGCACAGGGAACCCTTTATCTATGTGAAAGGGATTATGCCCCCCTCAACCCCGCCCCCGGGCTGAGGCCTGAGCCAACCACTGGGCAGGTCTTTCCATATCGGGAGGCCGAAAGGCTCTGTCCTACTTAGGTGTTTCTTATCAGGAGTCTCCTCCCAGCTGGGCTGCTGGGCAGGTCCCAGACACACAGTAGGCTCTTGGTGACTCTGGGAACCCCGCCCACCCTCCTTCTGCCTTCCCACACCCCTCCGAGGGGGCGGGACAGATTAATACTAACAGAGCTGCCTCCTGCCCCTCCCATACAGAGCTCCCAGGAACTGGACCGGCAGGTAAGCCCCAGACTGGGTGGCTCAGAGCTGTGAGGGCAGGTACCAGGGACACAGGGCTGCTGGCAGGAAGCGCTGGACGTGGGGAGGGGCGTGCTTGTCGGCGACAGCAGGTGGCCTTTTCCCTAGTTTCAGGCTGCTATCAGGAGGCCACTGAGACAGGAAGGAGACGGGCCTTCTCCTCAGCCAGCCGGCTGGGCTCGACGGGTTGGAGTTGGGACACCCTGAGCCAACTGGTAGACTCCAGAGCCCTCCTGTACAGGCCACAGGACGAGGTCCCCACTGTCCTCTGCCCGAGGGCATCCCTATGCCATAGGGACATGTAGGCAGCCTCTCCCACCACGTGGAGGCCAGAACCTCACTATTTCCCGCTGAGAGTTTGGATGGGTGCTGACCCACAGCCAGGGTCAGCCCTGTGGGAAGCCTGAAGCTCTTCCAGGCTAGAAGAGAGAGAAGGAAGAGAACTCAGTCCCCCACAGGCTGATCTGGTTTCCGTTATCTCCTTGCTTCTTCCCTGGCAGTCCAAAGAAACAGAAGTCCAGAGAGGGTGAGCTGTTGGCCTGAGGACACGGCCTGTGAGCACAGGTCTGGATGCTCAGTGTGTGGGCAAGCACCACCTCTTCTCCGGGCCTCAGCTTCCCCACGCTGGCACCACGGGAATGCTGGCTGGGGGTGAGGCAGGAGAAGTGAAGCTCTCAAACCACGTGGATGTTAAGTGGGGGGCGCTGTGGCTGGGGCAGGGGGTGCTCTCAGCACATCCGGCTGCTCCTGTCTCCACCTCCATGCCCCTTTCTCTTTCTCGTTTCCTCTTTTAGCCCTTTTCTCTGTGTCTCTCGCTCCAGGGTTTTTATTTTTGACCCTCGCAGTTGCCCTTCCTGGTCTGTAGACTCACAGCTGAGCAGCTGCAGCCATCCAGAGAGGACATCCCCTCCTCTCCTAACTAGCTAGGGTGAGACCAGCCCCTACTTCAGGTGGGGCCTACAGGGCCCACCAAGGACACTGGGCCGAGTTCTCCAGGAGGCTGGAACCTGGACAGCATACCCAGGAGCAGGGTGTGGCTGGAGCCCAGGCTGCCAGTTGGCTCTGCCCGGGGCCACCAGCGCCACTCACCTGAAACCGCTGAGCAGGCTGGGTCAGGTGTCCCAGCCCTTGCAAGCCAGATGGCCGCATGGACACTGGGAGAGAGGACAAGGACCTGCTTGCATGGACACTGTGCCAGCTTTCAAAAGATAGATACGGCAAACCATGATGCAGCTGGCGCAGGAACCGAGCTGAGCCAGCAGGATGCAGAGCTGGGGGAGGAGGCCAGGACAGACACAGGGCCTTCCTTGCCAGGCGGAGGAGGACCCCACCGAGGGCACACTGACCTGGGCAAGCCACACCCCCCGCCTCCCTCACTCCCTTGGGCCTGGGACAAGCTTTTGATGAAAGAATGTTAGAAGAGAGACCTTTGCCTGGAGCTAAACTTCTGGCTTCTCTGTTGCTGCCCCACCTCTAGGGAGCCTCAAGTTTCTGGTCTTTCCATTGCAGAGGGGCCCAGGAAGCAGAGACATTTTGAGACTTGCTCAGAGTAAGTCGAGCCTGTACACCATTGCCCTCTTCCTAGTTCAAGAATCGAGCAGGCAGAGGGTGGATGAAAAGGGATCCTGCTCAACTTGTGCAAAGAGGCTCAGCAAGCCTCTTTGGGGCCCTCTCACCCCAGAACCTTGCCAGTCTGGTCAAGAGGGCCGAATCCACAGTTGCACCTGCCTGGGTTCAAATGTCAGCTCCCAGGTGACCAGAGGTGTGACTGTGGGTAAGTCACTCCCTCTCTGAGCCTCAGTTTTCTCCTTCTTACCTTGGGATTGGTGCGTGGATTTGGTGGATATGATCTGAAGCACTTTAGTACAAGACCCAGCATGGAAAGAGCGAATGGCGCCGCTGCTGATGCAGTTGTTCAAGTTACTATTGTCTTCTTTGTTTGGATTACCTCCCAGATGGCTAACCGGTTGCTGGATTTTATTCCTGCTTCCACCCTAACCCCGTGTTATTCTCGTAACAGCCAGCAAGGTTCAGTTAAAAACTAAATTAGAGCTACTCCCACCTCTGCTTGACAATGAGGATTTAGGTTCAGAGAACACACCCACACTGTTGCCTGCAGGGTCTATGTGACCTGGGTGTCTCCTCTGTTTGCACTGCTGTAGCCACACTGGCCTCCTGGTTATTCTTCCAGCATGAGGCTCTGTTTCTGGGACACAGCTAGTGAGGACCTACCCCAGGCCCTTTGCACTTGCTGTTCGCCTTGGACCGCTTTCCCCAGACAGGGCTCACTCCCCAATCCCTTCATGTCCCTCGGATCACCCCATTTATACCTGCAGCCGCCCTCCTGAGGCCTGTTCCTCCCAACTCTGCCTCCTGCACAGCCCTTCTCCCTTTATCACTGCTGGCTTGCTCTACCTTTTTGTTTTAAATTTTAGTCTGGTCACTGCCTGCCACCCTTTCCAGAGAGTTGAGATTGTTGCTCAGTGTACAGCAAGTGCCTGATAAGTATTGTCTAAATGAAAGAACAAGAACAGGAAGATCATTATAGGAAAAAGGAGAAAGTAGAGGCAGCCTTTTCACAAATATTCTTCACAACGCAGTGAGCACATTAGTTACTCTGAGCCACTCCTTAGTTCTCTGGAACAGCCAGACCTCTGCCCGTGCAGCTGCCTCCAACTCAGACATGCCCCACTCCTGTCACTGATGGGTGTCTTGCGCATCCTTCAGGCTCAGGGGCATGTAGCTATCTGGCTGGCTGGGCGTGGGCCAGGGCAGGGGAGCCATCAAGGAGTACCACAGGTCCTTTCTGGCTTCCAGAAAAGGAAACGTTTGGCTCTGGCTTTGCAGAACCAGATCATTTCCTTCAAATCACAGCCTTAGGAGCGCCTGGGTAGAACCCAGACAATTCAGTTCAATGCGTTGTAGGAATTTAGGCTGTTGAAGCAGGAGACCCGCCACACATAAATGACAAGTAGACTTGCCCTGTCTGCCCCCATGTACCCCTCAAGCCCACTGTTCTAGTCACACGGCCAGGTTCATTCCTGCCCCAGGGCCTTTGCACAAGATATCTCCTCTGCCTATGTGTTCTTTGGGTATTTTTATTACTGTTTCCATTTTTTAGATATTTGATCCAGCTGAAATTGATTTGGGTGAGGGCAGAATAGAAGGAAGGGAAGAGGGATGGGAGAAATCCAGCTTTGTTTTTCCCAATGACTAGCCAATAGCAAAGTCTTATTTTCTAATATGCAAGGAAACTGCATATTAGTAAATGTGTAACCTGCCAACTTGCTGAACTCTCTCATTAACTTAATAGCTTTTCAGATGATAAAGGTAACCATCTTCTGCAAATCTGCTTCCTCCCTTTAATTATTTACTTATTCCTCTTGATTAGCCAAGTCATTTATCTCCACCTCTATATCCTTGTTTATTTTTATACCACTGTCTTCTGTCAAGGGCTGGAAGAGTAAGTTAATATCCCACAATTGCTGACCTTCTGTTCATTGCTCCTGGCACATCTGAAGCTTTTGAGGAATGTTATTCAGGATAGAGAGATTCACTTTATTGTGCCTGTTGTGAATTCCAGTCTTTGTATTATATAAAATAATTTTGGGTGTCAATTTATATTTTTGTTATCAAGTTCCATATTGAGAGCACTTCGTTTCTCTCTCTTTCCTTCTGTCATTCCTTCCTCTCCCCACACCCTATCTTCTTTCCTTTGTCCTCTCTCCAATTTCTCTGTACACCTCTGCCCCAAGTTTGCTCCCAACCCTTTAGTGCCCTAGAAGCTATGTCTAAGTAACTGACTTGATTTGATTTTGGGTTTTGATCAAATCCTGATTGGGTCAGGACCCAAGTTGCTGAGTTGGTACATTAATAGTAAAGAGGGTAAATGTATACATTCATTTTAGGCTACTATACTCAGTCAGTTTACAACCTTGACCACATATCTCTACATATTTACCCAATATTTTGCAGTATGTAAGAGTGACTTAAACAGAAGATTATTATGTGTAAACAACGGTGGTAAACAAGATGGTTCAGATGCAGGCAGGCCAGGACTTGCGTGGTGGTTCTGTGCCACAAATTTTGAGGAGCTCTAGCCCCCACGCCACTCCCCACAGAGCAAAATGGCTGCTGGAGTTCTGGCCATCACATGTGCATTCCAAGAAGCAAGATAGGGGAAGAGCAGGAAAGGATACTTTTTTATATCCAAGGAAACTTCTCAAAGTCCCTCACAACTTCACTGACCTGTGCTTGGTAGGGTGGTAGTGCACAGCGGGGCCTGGGGTGTAGCCCTTCAGCGTGGTAGACATGCGGTCTCTGTAGGAAAGAGTGGCTGATGGAAAACAGCTAGCAACCTCTGCCTGCTTCTCGTTTCTGGTGGAGATGAGCAGCCATTGCCCTTTCTGGGTCTGGTTGGACAATTCTGTGGGAAACCAGAAAGCTACACTGAAGCTCCTGGCCTTTGAAGGAGGTCCTCTCCCTCCTGCACTCCACTAACCGCCCCCTCCCCCAACAAAGGGCGGCCTGCTTGGCAGCCCCTGGGTTATGTGCCTGGCCAAGGCATGCCTCCGCATGCCCCTCCTGCCTCCTGACCTGAGCACCCACTCTTCTTCACCCCCAGCTGCACTGCTGCCGTGACCGCTGGCCACACCTGGCCGGCAGCCCACACCTCTCTTCTTTCTGGGGCAGCCGCTGAGGCAGTGATGTCTTTGTTGTATCCCTCACAACACTAGCATAAAGTAGTCACTGAATTATCTGTTGCTGGAGGTGTTGCCAAGAGGAATTATTTATGCTGCAGTATCCAGAAATGTGTTCAGGGCAAGTGTGTGTCTTTAAATGCAGTTGGTATGTTTGCTGAAAGCAGTTGTGGCAGGTAACGTTCACTGACACTTACTCTGTCGGCCCTGTGCCAGCACCTTGCACACTCACGGTCACATAATCCTGATGCTGGTGCTGGGGGCCTCCTTCCCATTTTGCAGGAGAAAAGTCTGTTACCAGAGCTTAAGCCATTAGCCAGGGTGGAAGCCAGAATCCGAGCCCAGGCATCGGCTTCTGATGCCTGGCAGGAGAAAGCAAGAGGGCTGGGCCAGGGCCCAGAGTCTCAGTGGAGAGTGAGGCCAAGACCGCACTCCAGCGCACCCCCTTCACCCCCCCCCCACCCCGACCTGGGAAGGAATCCTGGGCAGCTGCATCTTCCTCTCAAAAATAAGGGCGGCCCCATCAGGGCTCACATTGCCTCCCAGCCGGGGGACCCAGCAACGCCGAGTAAAAGAGGGTGTTGCCGGGAGGATAGGCAGGTTCACTGTGGCCAGGTCTCCCCAAAACTCCTCAGAGACCAGAAACGCTGCGTACACCCGCCATGCCACCTCCTCCTGACTTCTGGGTTTTGGTAACTGGACAACCTGCAGCAAAATAACGTGCCTGCCGCCTGGTGGCCAGTGAGTGACCGATTTACAAAGCCCGAGCTAGGTCATCTCAGAAGCTACCACTTCTGCCTTCAGCATGCGATTCCAAAGCAGCCCACCACCCTCGGGGAGCTTCACTCTCCCAACATCCAGTTCCTTGCGCACAGTTGCACCATGAAAACACTCAAAGAAGGGCTCTTGGGGCCCAGATGAGGACACCTGTAAAGGGCCAGGCAGCCCGCAGGGGTTTTCTGGGGTGGGGCCCTTTAGGGTGTAGAAGAAGGGAGGGGACAGTTGCCAGGCCCAGAGCACAGCACAAAGTCCAGAGCAGCAGGACTCCCCCACACAGACACAACACAGACCCAGACTGAGGAGCCGGTCCCTCAGGTACCAGAGCCGGGCCAGCACAGTGGTTTACCTGTTGCATCTCTCACACACTGGCACAAAGCAGGAGCTGAATCACCCCTGGTGGACAGGCCAGCTTCAGATGGGAAAGCAGTGGCAGGGCCCTGCCCAGTCCGCAGTCCTCCCCAGGACTTGAAGGAGCAGGTTGGACTGCATTCTGCTGCAGTTTCCTAGCAGGAAGCCAAGGTGACGGGCAGTCAGCAGGGCTCCGGCTTCCTCCGCCAGGAAGGAGGAAGTGCGGTCAGTCGCGGTCAGTCAGTGGAGCCTGGAGAGTTGACCCTAGGGGGAGAAAGTGGAGAGGAGCTGCGGTGTGTTGTGGCCTGATGAGGCTGGTGAGTGTCCTGGGGAGGCACTGCCACGGGAAGGTGCCCACGTGTGTCAGCAGAGAGCCAGAGGGGTTGGGGGTCACCTTGGGCTGCGAGTGGGGAGCGAGGGCTGCAGCGGACCCACTCCCAGCCTCAGGGGAGCCCACACCCTCCTGGCCCCACCGGAATGCCCATCTGTAAAAGGGGGTGGTGGGCCCAGCTGGTCGCCACAGTGCCTATCTTTGCCCACTTCTTTATTGGGACTTTTTGTTCTTAATTTCTAAAAACTCTTTGTATATTAGGAAGATGAGCCCTCTGCGGTTTATACTGTATTTCCCTCAGTGTGTCATCTATCTTTTGACCTTGGTATTTTTTCTTTGCTTATTTGCTTGCTTTTGTGTTTTAATATCTTGGCCGATGAATGTATCAATCATTTCTTCTGTGATTAAGACACAAATCATGGCTAGGGAAGCTTTTCCCACTGGAAGGTTGGCTATAAAGGCATTTGTACATGCTAGAAAAAAGTCACCTTGTTCATGGGGAGGAAAATGATGAGAAATCTGGATCCAGAAGCATAGTCTTTTGCCAGATGGTGAACTTGACATTGCTCATCTGGTATTTTTTTCTCCATTGGTCCCACTGCAGGCTGATCTGGGGAGCTGGTGGCCTCCAGCCCTGGGCAGACCTCACCATGGCCCTCCTGATACATCTGCTGGTCTGCACCTTCGGGATGGGCTCCTGGGTGGCCATCAATGGGCTCTGGGTTGAGCTGCCCCTGCTGGTGACGGAGCTGCCCGAGGGCTGGTACCTGCCCTCCTACCTTACTGTGGTCATCCAGCTGGCCAACATTGGACCCCTCCTGGTCACCCTGCTCCATCACTTCCAACCAGGCTGCCTTTCTGAGGTGCCGATCATCTTCGCTGTGCTGGGTGTGGGCACCGTCGCCTGTGCCCTCTTCGCCTTCCTCTGGAATGTGACCTCACGGGTGCTGGGAAATGACCACAGCATCGCCTTCTTATTCCTCACCTTCTTCCTGGCCCTGGTGGACTGTACCTCCTCCGTCACCTTCCTGCCCTTCATGAGCCGGCTGTCCACCCATTACCTCACCACCTTCTTTGTGGGTGAAGGACTTAGTGGCTTCCTGCCTGCCCTGGTGGCTCTTGCCCAGGGCTCAGGTCTTACCACCTGTGTCAATGTCACTGAGCCATCAAACAGCACCTCAAGCCTTGAAACCACCAGGAAAACCAACAACATCCTACAGGTACTGGCATTACCCAGGGCCAAGTGATCTGTAGCTGGTCAGAGCAAGGGGCAAGTTTCACCTGTGTCTGGTCACAGCAAGAGCACGTGGAGGCCATGTTCCTGGTGCTGGGCAGACCTGGCTGCACATTAGGTCCCACGCATGGGCTACTAAGACGGTTGGGTCCCACACACCCTGGCCAATTAAATACAGCTCTCCAAGGTAGGGGGCTCCCCTGAAATCCTGGGGGTCAGAGGTGTTTGGAAATGGAGTTTCAGGGTGAGGAACATGGCAGTCTCACCCGCCCCTGGGGTCCACTGATCCAGCACAAGACCGCCGGCCACAGCCAGCTGGCACTTACGCCCGCTGGGCAGACCGGGGCTGGAGACAGCCTCCTGTCCATTCTAGTCTTGAAAAAGCCGAGTCATGAAAACATTCTGACTTTCGGAGGCCAGAATTGCAGGTCAGAGATCGTGAGCTCGTATTTTTTCAGAATTCCCCAGGTGATGCAGACAGGGCCGAGTCCCACGGCTTCCGGCACCGTCCAGCTCCTCCTGTTATGAGGCAGCAGCCCTGCCTTCCCTGGAAACGGGGCAGCTGACATGGGCTGGTGTCATCAAAACCACAGAGGTACAGCAGCGACTGCAAACCGGTGATTTGCACCACAGCCTCACCAGTCTTCTTTTTGAAGTGTTTCCATTCGTTGATGTTTACGTCTGCGGTTTCACATACATGTATCTAGACATGCGGCATCTCTTGAAAAAAGAGCTGAGATCACACACCACCAGCGTGACTTGGCTGCTCTGCTCTGAACACATCTGTGGCTGCAGGGCTGCAGGGCAGGGGAGCGCTTCTGAACCAGGAATAAACAAAAACAGGTGCTCCTGTGACCTCCAGGTTAGATGAACTGTGCTGACACCTCCATATCCTCTAAACCCAGGGGCAACCCACCTGACTGTCAGGCAGGCACACGTGGGCTGGCACAGGCCAGGCGCTGGTGCCCAGTGAGCAATTAGCATCATTACCCTAGTGGTTAAGTGCATGTTATACATGACTTATTATTAATAACCATGTCCTATTTACTTGGTTAATATTTACAGCATCTGGCCCTGGAGAACTGTTTGGGGGAACACTTCAGTGTAGAACCAGAATCCCCCTGGGGTCTGACTGTCCTGACCCTCTTTGTCTTTCCCCAGGGAGTGAACAGCACTCTCGAACCTGCCCTCCTGGGGGCGCTGCCCGCCATGGAAAGCCGCTACCTCCCCGCCAACTTCTCGCCCACCGTCTTCTTCCTGCTGCTGTCGGCCATGATGGTCTGTTGCTTCGTCGCCTTCTTTATCCTCCAGCGCCAGCCCAGACACTGGGAGACCTCCATAGAGGACCTGCTCACCTCCCAGGTCACCCTCCACTCCATCCGGCCGCGGGAAGAGAGCGACCTCCGCCTCCCCAGCATGGTCGACAGCAGCGAGAGCCAGGGACGCCTAGAGGAGAAGCCGGTGCCCCACCACCCAGCCCGCCTCACCTTCATCTACGCCCTGGTGGCCTTCGTGAACGCGCTCACCAATGGCGTGCTGCCGTCCGTGCAGACCTACTCCTGCCTGTCCTACGGGCCGGTGGCCTACCACCTGTCCGCCACCCTCAGCTCCATGACCAGCCCTCTCGTCTGTTTCCTCTCCATGTTCCTACCTAACAGGTCCACTCCAGTCTCTGGGCCTGGGGAACTCTTGCTTGGGGGTACACTTCAGTCTAGAACCCAGAATTCTCGTGTTGTAGTGATTAAGGATATGGTTTGTAGTGGTTAAGGATATGGTTCCTGGACTCAGCTGCCAGAGTTCAAAACCTGACTCTGCCATGCACTTGCTGTGTGATATTGGACAAGTCACTCCACCTCTCTGTGCCTCAGGGGGTAGTTAGCTGGAAAATGGGGCTACAGTTTAGCTCAAATTGCTGGGAGCTAATTTTGTAACGCTCACAGCTTAAGTGGTAGAACTGGGATCTGAACAAGGTCTACGTAGCCTTCTGATTTCAAAAGCCACTGGTTCTCCTGGTGGGATGCTGGGCCCTGAGGTAGCGCCCAGAGTGGCTTAGTCAGTCTTCCCTCAGGAGCGACCCTGGCCTGAGTCAAATAGCCTGCAGTTTCCACATGGATAACCCCTGCCTGGGAGGTGGTGGGGATGGGGGTGAGGGAAGGGTAGACGCCAGGTTTCTTACTCTTCTCTCTTCCCTCACTGTCCGTAGGTCTCTGACATTCCTGGGTGTCCTCACAGTACTGGGGACCGGCTTTGGGGCCTACAACATGGCCATGGCGGTGATGAGCCCCTGCCCACTCTTGCAGGGTCACTGGGGCGGAGAAGTCCTCATTGTAAGTATCTGCTGTGCCTCTGACTTGACCTAGCCAAGACCCAGGGAGACCAGGATAGAGTTTGTTCATTGACCAAAGTCTTTGTTGTTGCATTGTGGGAAAGCCCCAGGGTAGGGAGGGGAAGGAAAGATGGTTTCCCACCAGTCTCTCCCCTGACCTGAATGCCAGTTAGCTCACCATAAGTATGTCCCAGATGCCCTTGGCTTTATCGTGGGCCCATCTCTGGTGTTGGGAAGGTCAAACGCCATGCACCCTCTTAGCCTGGTCATTTCCCAACTCAGAGGTTATTACATGAGATTCCCTTAGCACTGTTAAATCACCCCCACGAGCTCCATTTGCTCCTGGGACTCGTCCCACAAGTCCCTTTCACTCTTCCTCTCTCGCCCCCACCCCCGCAGGTGACCTCTTGGGTACTGTTCACTGGTTGCATGAGCTACGTCAAGGTGATGCTGGGCATGATCCTGCGCGACCGGAGCCGTAGCGCCCTCTTGTGGTGCGGGGCGGCGGTGCAGTTGGGCTCCTTGCTAGGAGCGCTGCTCATGTTCCCGCTGGTCAACGTGTTGAGGCTCTTCTCCTCCGCTGACTTCTGCAACCTGCAGTGTGCTCCCTAAGCCAGCTGCAGGGGCAGGGTCCGTTAGAGGGACCTGCCCCGCCCCCTTACCAAAGCTGGGACCGAAGAAGCAAGGCCTGGCCTCAATATGCTGGGAACCTGGAGACAGGGCCTGAGTGCTTGAGCTGTCAACACAAACTCCCCTCAGCAACAATGGGGAAAGCACTGGCCCCCAGGGGACCTGCAAACGCAAAGCAAAGCCCTGAATGCCTGCACCCCGACCATTTCAGATGGCCCCTCCTTCAGCTCTTGAGAAGACACTGACTGAAGCGTCCAGGGGAGGAGGCCCTCGGGTATCAGAGGGGACTGTGTGAGCTTCCCCCTACAAGACCTGCGACCTTGGGAGAGTCACCTGATTTCTGTTTCCTTCTCCACCACATGGGGATTAGAATAAGCAGCACCCACTTCACAGGCTTGGCACAGTGGTGAAAGGGAGAAGCACCCGCAGGTAACAAGCCAGGGTCATTCCCTAATCTGACAGCCAGCAAAACAAGTGACCATCAAGGCGACCTGGAAGTGAGAGGGCTGGCAGATGACCCTGCCTCTGATGCTGTCCGCTGGCCTCAGGGGAGCTGCTAGAAGGCGGGTGGCTAATGGGGACTCTCAGAGCACCATGGAGGGCCGTGCCCCACGCCCCTTCCTGACATCCACCCGACCCAAGACCTGTTCCCTGGAGAGTGGGTGACTCTGGGAGGCAGAGAGAAACGACTGTAGCTCTGAAGTGAGCCCCGACCCCCACCACACACAAGCTGGGAGCACTGGACATCTGGGCTCCCTGGAGGCAGCTCCCCAACCACAGGGAGGGGCAGGGGTCGGGGGAGCACATCGCTGCCTGACTGCTGTTCTGTTTGGCTTTCTGGCTTTCCTTTTTTTAGTAACGATATTACTGTATCAGTATACAAGCATCGCTCCACCTTCTCAAAAGCCCATGATTTTAGCTACCCTAGTGCCTCTTTTCACTAACAGAAGAAACCCAGAGAGGTTTTCCCTTTTAGGTAAAAAGTGAAATTAGCATTCAGTTTGTTAAGAAACAACCTCTATAGAGGTGGCCCACAGCCAGAATGGCGCCAGCAGCGCCTCCTGGGAAAGCAGTGCTCCCACGGCTGCCGCTCCCACGGCTGCCGCTCCCACGGCTGACGCTCCCACGGCTGACGCTCCCACAGCATTCCTGCCTTACTGTATGCTAGTGTTAGGTCTTAGGTCTTGCGTATTATCTGGTATATTTGTTAACCGTGGGTTTCCATATAAATTAATGTTGACTAATTATAAATACATTAATTTCCTCATTTTAATTGATAATTATTTTTTCACTTTATACCATTTCTGCCTGGATGATTTCATGGGAACACTCCACTTTAGGATAGCAAGGAAGACCTGTGATCAATTTTCAGTTGGTTCCCACCAAGGCTGAGCTCAGAAATGAACAGAATCAATGTGCAGAGAGTGTCTAGCCCTGGGATATCTTCTCTTCTTTTGTCCGGTGCCTGCCATCACCCTTTCTTTTTAATTTATTTTGAATATGTGATATAGTCATTTTTTAAAAGGAGAACAGATAAAATTTCATCTCTCCCTTTTCTGCACAGTTCCTCTTTACACACTTCAGCATTTTTACTAGTTTTTTCTTTACTCTTCTAGAGATTATGCAAATATAAACAAATAAAATGTGGAGGGGTAGTAAAAAAGCAGTAAACTACCACTTACCTTGCATTTTCAACACTTAAGTGCAAAGAGTGGTCTCCTTGGTCATGATTACATAGTATTCCACCATGACATGCCTAACTCATGAAACCAAAACTCTGTAGAAAAGCATTTGAAGGTGACAGAGACAAAATTAAAAGCAATATCTGACATGGAAAACCTCTCCATAAAAGCAGAAGAAGGAGAAAGCAGCTTTTCTACTGATCAAGAAGGGATCCCCAGAGGGGAGCAACACTGAAAAGTTTGCTGAGGCAGAGAGGAGCCTTGTGTATAGTCCAGCAGGTCCAACTTATCACATCCAAGTTCTCAGTGACAATCAGTTCTCAGCTAAGAAGGTGAGACAGCACCATTTCTCAGAGGTCACCCTGAATACACCTAGTTATTGGGGTAGCTATTTGTGTTAGCTTCCTGTCCTTATCCACAGGGAAAACAAACTCGTATCTTTTTTTTTTTTTTTTAGAAATATTTTATTTATTTATGCATACAAGAACTGGGGTACAGGTCAGAGATGCAAGGTCTAAGAGGATTCACCAGAGACAAAGTGAGGAGCAGAACAGGCACTGAAATACACTGCTGAGAGGAGCAGCTGACGAGACAGGAGAGGTCTGTGGCACTCTGCGGGTCAGCTCCCTGGCTGGGGGTTGAACTTGTGCTGCAGTGGCTGCCGACAGCTTCATTGTGCTGCGCTTTAACCTGTTGCGCAACCAGGGGACCCTAAACTTTTAAAGAGAGGAAGTTATTTTGCACCTTGGAGTCAAACACAAGTTCTTTTCCTAACATTCCGCAGAAAGGCCGGCTACCCTGATTTAATATTACAAAGAGATAGCTCCCTGTCCTGGAGAAAGACAGTACTGGATCGTCACACTGGCAAGAGGCTTACTCAGTTTTGCTTACAGCCTCAAAGTCTTCATGCATCTGAAAGGAACAGAGAAAAATTATCCAGTTTTAAAATAAATGCTTTAAGGCAAAGGAGGAGGAGGATGTCTTTTCCCTCTTGCTGCACTAGTGAGAATTCTTTTATATAAACTGTAAGCCGCTCTCCCTGCTCAGACAAGGACCAGGGCAGAGGGTGACTGACTTGGGACTTGGCAGTGGCTCTCCATGCCTTTGCTTTCACCCACTAAGTCCTTGACACTCACAACCTGTGTGCTGTTGTCAGCCTTCGGGTGACTGCGTCTTGTCTGGACAATGGACTGACAAAAGCACCCCCTCCCTGGGCTGTGGTGAGGGTTAATTGAGCTAACTGGTGACATACCTGCCAACAGTGAGTGCTCAGGAAATGCCATGAAAAAACCCCTGCCCCTTTGGGAACTATCCACCACATACCCTGGACACCCCCACCCTACTGAGCTTAAATCCCGTTGCGAGGGATCCTGGGGGCATCTCTATGGCCTGAGCCATAGAGAGCAGGCTGAACCAGCCTGAGCGAGAGCAGGCCCCAGGCCCAGCCTGGGGTTGGCACAGGTGGACCCCAAAGGTCCCCTGAGGACGGCTCCCCAGGCTGGTGAGTCCAGATGGCCAGAGAGAGGGAGGTAAAGCCAGAAGAGAGGTGCCTTCCAAGGAAGCAGAAGCTGCATTTACAAAAGCCCTGAGCCAGAAAGGAGGCCCTGGTGGGGAGCAGCAGAGGGTTGTGTTGACATAAGAGATTTGTCGAGGGGAGGGCTGGGGGAGACCAGCAACGCAGGGGCCGCAGCAGATACCTGCAGGCAGAGAGGGTCCCACTCTGGGTGAGTGGGACATAGACTGGCACAGCACACAGACTGAAATATGCACTTGATCCTTCTTTTTGGTCTCTTACGAACATTTTTCTGGAGGTCGGTGACTAGTTGAACAAGGGGATTCTGCAGGAAAAGCACAGAATAACCTTCCTTCCTTCCGTGGATGAGAGTTGAAAGGAAATGAGGGAAAGGAGGTTTCAGCTACTGCCCCAAGAAACCAGAGCACGAAGGGCTGCTCTCGTTTAAATCTGGCACCCAAACTCCTGATAGAGACACTCCCTCCATCATTTCTTGGAGTCATGTGTTCTTAGGGACTTTTAGAACTATCTAGAAACCAAAGCCCACAAAGTGAGACTTGGGCTGGGAACTACGTGGATGCCTGGGGAATTTGATCAGGTCAGTCCTGTTCTGGTTCCAGGTAAGTCCAGCCCCTAGCCAGCATCCACCCTGGTCTGTCTCTCCCCTGGCCAGGGGACATTCTGTGTGTCCCGGGGCCCACAGAGAGCAGAGTGAGCATGGGTGCGGTTTATACTTTTCCAGTGCACTAAGTGCACAGTGACCACTGTGCATCCATGTTACAAGGCATCCCCAATGTGAAATGGACCAGGACAGGAGACAGGACCCAATCGGGCCCCAGACTACCCAGTGTCGGGGTGAACCACAGACACAAAGACATGCACACACGGCCCCCGTGGGTCTGTTCACGTGGGTAGCAAAGGAAGAATGTGAGTTCTGGGGCTTCTGGTGGCCTAGGGGTTGAGTCACTGGGACAGTCTGAGTTCGATCCCCAGCCAGGGAGCTGACTCACAAGGCGCAGCAGACTATCCTGTCTCGCCCGCTGCTCCCCTCAGCAGTGTGCTTCTGTCAGTCTGCCTGCTCTGCACCCCACTTTGTCTCTGGTGAATCCTTTCACCACCACGCCCCCAATACCTCTGGCCTATACCCCAGCTCTTCCTCACAAAAATAAATAAATATTTAAAAAACAAAAAAAAAGAAAGGAATGTGGGTTCTGGTCTCAGATTCCCTGGCTTCAAGTCTGGGTTCTACGGCTCACTGGCTGTGTAACCTGGACTAGTTACTTCAACTCTCAGCACCTCAGTTTCACCATCTGTCATCACTGTACCTGCTTCATGGCTTCATAGGCGGACTGCATGGATTAAGACGGTAAACGGCTCAGACAGTGCCAGTTGTGCACTTAATGTCCAGTAAATAGATGTTTATTTCCTGTAACTTCAGAAATGTAACTGTGTGTGCCCAGAGAGAGAGAGAGAAGGGAGAACATGCACTCGGTGTGGGCAATTCCGCCTGGACACGAGCCCAACTGCAGCAAGATGCAAGGGGGCGCATGCACCCACTGTTCACAACCCCACACTTTCAAGTGAGAACTGAGTCTAAAATTAGTGTGCAAACCTATGCAATCGCTGCCACACACTGTCCCCTTTTTGTTCAGTGTATCTGTTACTGCAAAGGACCATGTTCAGGAAAATAACCAGACTCTACTTTGGGGGTAATTTAAAGGATTTAGGGGAGCTTTTTTTTTAATTTTTGCTCATTTTTATAATAATCTCCTCCCAGTAGAACCCCA